CGCTGGATTGTGTGTGTGGGCCCGCAGAACAAAGCCTCCATTTGTCAACAAGTATGTCTTCGCTTTGTACAACAAGGCGAGCTTGTCTATTGGACAGGTGGCAGGACAATGTCGCTAAGATACCAGGCAATATGAATAATAGATTTAGTCCATCGAGCGCCAAGAGCTGGTGCTGCCACATCCACAACAGGCACCCAGTGAAAGAATGGAAAATTAGGCCAACTGTTCACCTGAGGACCCTGGAAGCCCAAATGTTGATTTGCGGGAGTGAGCGCATACATTTTAAATAAACACGCAGATTGCAAGTGAGAAAACGAAATGTGCTCAAAGCGCCTCACAAATGGTGAGTGAAGGGGCCGTTTAAATGTTGGGTGAAGTCTTAAGCTTGAACATTACAGATGAATAAATGGAAAAAAATGTGCAGGGAGCTTAAAGGCATAGTTTATCTGAGCATTAAAGTTCTGTTATTATTTTATCACCCTCCATTTGAGTTCTTCTGTTCAACACAAAAGTAGGTATCAACTACAATGCATTGATTTCCGTAGTATTTATTTTCCTACTATGAATGTCAATGGGTATATTAGAAAATTATTTACACTATTCTGAATAATGCAACATTTTGATTGGGGTGTTTGCATAAGTTGCTTTTAAAATAAACCTTTCATCTTCCCATTTTTATGCTATATTACATATATTCATGAAATGCACAATATGTGAATTATTTTCAGAAATATCCTAAAGTATCATGCACAGTGTTATACAGTTGAAGTCAGAATTATTAGCCCCCCTTTGATTTTTTTTTCTTTTTTAAATATTTCCCAAATGAAAATTTCACAGTATGTCTGATAATACTTTTTTTTTTTTTTTTTTTTTTTTTTGGAGAAAGTATTATTTGTTTTATTTTGGCTAGACAGAAGTATAAATGCCCGACTACACGCAAGACATGGTTACGGAGATTGCTCGATGCAGAAGTATAAAACAGCCTTTAGTTTGTTATGAATATGCCCTCTAGAGGCAGAAATTACATACTGTGCCTTTATTTTCATCCAGTCATGAAGTCACTGCATAAGAGCATTTAAGTTTCCTTCGGCAATTTTGTGTATGCAGATTGTCTTCGTTATGGTACTACATACAATTTTGGATTGTTTAATTTTTAATTATACGAAGGTTTCAAGTTCAACAAACTATTTGTCATGCTATACATGCAAACAGATGATGCTGACACAAATTTACACTCAAAGGCACTTTTTTTATTGTTAAACTGCTACTGCCATGCTGTTGCCACTATCGTGTGTGTAATCCAGTTGTAAAATGGGGAAAGAAGTCCTACACGTTGCCATTAGTGTGATTAAGGTGTGTACATGTTTTTACAACACTTTGGTAAAGTGACTAATAAGAATACTTAGCATTTTATTTTATTTGTGTTCACTTCGAGTGTGATTATGGTAATCAAAAAAGGCTGCTAACATGGTAGATTTTTCATCAGAGTATTGTTTTAATTGTGTTAATATCAGACCACTGTTGTCTGTGTACACTTAGTGAATGGCTACCAGTTTACAACATTTGAAATATATCCTTTTGCACAATGTTCAATGAAAAAAAAAACTGATTAAGATTTGGAACCACTTGTGGGTGAATACATGGAGAGTAAATGTTAATTTTTGGATGAACTGTCCCTTTAAATAACTTTAATTTCCAGATGCCATGTGTGATTGGGCAACTGTCCTAATTGAATGGATCCTCGTCCAAAGTGCCGTTCCAGAGACCTTTAGTTAATATCACCCATATAAAGGGCAGCCATGGTTAGAGGATTTGTCCTCTTTTGACAGTAATGATAGAGCAATACAGAAGACATGAGCTGCTCAGATATCAGCAGATTCGCTGGAAATGCCTGTGAATGGTCTAGTGAGATCAATGAAACAGGATGTTGGACAGTTTCAACAAATGGAATATAAAACAAGTTGAAAAGTTCATTAAACTATGACGATTTTTCAGACAGCGGAGGAGTTTACTAACCTAAATACTACAAAGAAAACAAGGCTTTGTGGCAACACATTACAATTTTCAAGTCTACAGTGCATAAATGACACAATTATTTTTCCTGAAAATAATAGAATAGAATAGAATAGAATGTTTTTTACTTCGTAAAATGCAGGCTTAAAATAAGTCAAAATGAAATCAATGAAAGGTCACGTTTAGTCATTAAAAAAAACATTGAAATTAATTTTTAAAAAACAATTAAGATAGTAAGTGAATAAAGATAGATTAAAAATAATACCCCATCAATTTAATTAAAATACCCTAGTGAAAATATATGCTGAAAGGATTGACAGTTTGCACACTGCATACTACAATAGCAACAGTACAGTAGTATGTTCCCACTTACTTCCTCTCTGTTTTGGTGAGACATGTTGCAGGTTGGACTAATTATACCTCCTGCTATTAGGGGCATTTTACAGTAATAATTAGTTGTCTAAACACTATCTGTAAGTGATCGGGCTCATCCACTGATTAATTGGATGCATGCAGTTTGTGGTACCCTGGCCTACATGCGGCACGAGTAAATATTTATTAGCAAATTACAGCATCACCCCAGGCCTGTTCCCATTCTGTCTCACGCATATTTCTGCTTCCAGTGGGGAAATACTGAGGTGCTGTGCTCATAATGATATCCCTGCACTTATTACAGGGAGCGCACTGGCCTTCTGGTTCATTTCTCAAGATTCTGAAGACAGAAATCCTTTTTAAAAATAGTCAAAATCAGCTTGTCGGATGTGGTAAATAAATAAAATGCCTAGTTCTAGAATTTCCTCTGTCTTTATTACTCACCCCTCAAGTGGTTCACCTTTCTGAGTTACTTTTTCATTTCTTTTTTTACTTTTATAGACAAAAATATATATTTTGTAGAATATTGGTTACCCATTTTTTCATCCATAAGGGAAAATAATACAAAATGGGAGTCAGTAGCAACCAGTTTTCAAGGCTTCTCAAGCTAAAGTAAATTACAAGCTAAAGTAATATCATGCCCAGGGTGGCTCAGTGGTTAGCACTGTCACCTCACAACAAGAAGTTTGCTGGTTCGTGTTCTGCCTGGTTCAGTTGGCGTTTCTGTGTGGAGTTTGCATGTTCTCCCCACGTTCGCATGCTCTGGTTTTCCCCACAGTCCAAAGACAGGCAGTTTAGGCGAATTGAATAAGCTAATTTTGCCGTAGTGTATGTAAGAGAATGAGTGTTCATGGATGTTTACCAGTACTGGGTTGCAGTTGTAAGGGCATCCACTGTGTAAAACATATGCAGGATAAGTTGCAGATTCATTCCACTGTGGCGATCCCTGATAAATAAAGGGACTAAGCCGAAGAAAAATGAATGAATATCATCCCTAGCCATAAAAACTACTACTTATCAAAATCTTATGTGGAAACAATCATAATTTCTGGTATAAACAGTGAAGGATAAAATTGCATTATCTTCATAAAATGTTTTGCATTTGCTGCATACCGTAAACTATGAGATTTAAAAGTGAGGTCTGTTCATTCTATAGGGCCACAAGAGGGCATTTAAAAGTCCCTGAAATTTTGAAAGGAAAATAAATCTAAATTGTATACAAATTTAAATGAAAATAAAAGTGTTGACAATAAATTTATTTAAATTAAATAACACTTACACACTAAATATTTTTAACACTAAATTTGTTTACATTAATTAATACACTTTTTATTTACTTTGAACTTAAAGGCATATTTCACCCAAAAACAAACGTTTGCTCTCCTTGTTCCAAATGAGTTGAGCCCCGTTCTTTTGTTAAAGTTGTGTTGGAATGAATGAAAAGATATGGTAAGAATGTTAGAAAATGCAAGCCATTGACTTCTATATATTTTTTATTTTTTCTTACTATGTATATCAATGGCTATCAGTTCCTTCAAAATATGTCTTCTTTGTGTTCAACAAAATAAACAGAATACACTTAAATGTTTGGAAGTTAAAAATAGTTCAGCTTATTTTGATAATAATTGATTTTAACAGAATGTTACTAGGAGCAGCATTTATTTGAAAAGGAAATATTCTATGATACTTTGATCAAATTAAGCCGTGATTGCTTGCTGAACAAAAACATCTATTTAAAAAATAATAGTAAAATGCTGCCCACAATCCTTCGCCTGCTAGAGTGGCGTTCACACAAAAGGTTTAAAAAAACTTCTGTCATTCCTGTTCACAATGTTTAGCTCCATAAAGCGGCAATTGTGCCTACAGTGTTCAGCACTCATTGTTTGCTCTATACTTACTCTCTATTTACACACCCGTATAAGACTTAGTGCATAGTTTATCGCCACTACGCAGTTCACACGGCCACTAATCTGAAAGTGTTTGTTTTTAAACTAACAGGGCTTCAGAAACAGAAAGAGCCATAAAACAAAAGTGCAGGACAAATGTTGTTTTAAGCACAAAGGTACATACATATATTTCAGAAGGTACATGCCTTTGAGAAGGTAGATTGCCCAAGAGAAACACACTGGCGTCAGCTGGACGCTCGAGATGAGGCCCAAAGTTTGCTCTGTGCTGCTGGAGGGAGGCTACACGTGACACCAAGGCTGATCTGGTGACAGTTTCTGTCTGGACCACAGGCCCTGACTTTGCCCTCTGGCCTGAGAAATTCCCCCATTCCCCAAACAAGAGAGTTTGACTGATCTCAGCACCTCCCTGTCAAAGAGCGACCCCTTTTGGCTGACAGATCTGCAAGAATGCCTTTAAGAGGGTCAATCCCAAATAGCACGACTCAACCCAAGAGTGGTGAGGGGTTTAGCCATGCGTGGCTTAAATTACAGTTAGAAGGACTGGGTCAAACTAGGCTGTAAACCATGAATGGGGTAGGGGGGAAGCTGTATGCTGGACATTTGAAGTAATCCAAAGTCTCACACCAAATTAATCATTCCATGTAATACATTCCAAAAGTTCTAATCCCAAATATTTGCAGCAATAACACTATCGATTTCAGTACTTACTAATGGTTTCCACAAACAAGTCGAAAAAGCGAAAGGGAAACAGGGGCTCTGGCAGTTCACGGAAAAACATCTTTAGCGCTCCGGTGATGACATGGATGTCCTCCCATTGGCTGTCGCCCAAGTCAAGCTCCTCCTCTGGGGAAAGAGAGACACAGTCAGAGAAGCCAACAGAGAGAATTAGAACAACAGTCGTTTGATGAGGAAATTAAAAAATGCTAATCATTATGTCAACGTTAATACGCCCCTTGAGAGCCGAGCACATTGTCCTGCCTGCATTTCATTGCATATCAAAATGGCAGTGAATATCCTTATCAAACAATTTGTGGCGCCTAATACAAACCAAGCATTTTATACCTTTCAGCCTCCCCTGTAGAGATAAAACGATATTGTGTCATTTAGATGAAACCAATCGCTGATGATTAAGCTTACCTTGGTCCACTAGGAAGCGTAGTTTCTGGATAATAGCCAAATTGCCGCTCACTCTGTATATCCCATCGGCCTCCAGGCCTGTGAGGACAGAGTAAAGACATCTGTCAGTCAGTCAGCCAGGCGTGTGATGAAATGCCTATTATTTCTTTTTAAATGATCTTTTTTTTTTACATACCTCGCTTTTCAACTTCTTCCACACACAGCTTGACAAATTTGGGCACTGTGGTCTTTTCTCTGTCGCACAGGGTCAGCATGTGACAACCAAACACTCGGTCTGTACATAAATATGTCATTGACAATATTAAAAAGCATTTATCATTAATATGATCAACAGCAATTAACTTAAATATTACAATTAATACAATACAGCACTATATATTGACATTTTAGAACAATATTGTTAACTAGGTCCCCAACTGAGCTGGCCCAACTGAGCTTGGTTTCTCTCAAGGTTACTTGCTTCACTTTCGTCAATTGGTAAAGTTTTGTTTCTCGCCACTGGCTTGCTTTTGGAACTTGTAAAGCTGCGCATCAATGGATTTGCTCTTCAGTGTTTGGACTTTTAGCAGTGAAAATTAAACCACAATGAACTGAACTAAACAGCACTTTAGTTTTTAGAACAACTATTCAGTTTCAATTTACTAAAACTTCTATGTTAAGCTGCTTTGACACAATCTACATTGTAAAAGCGCTGTAGAAATAAAGATGAATACAATTGAATTGAATTACCTGCCTCTGTTTATTAGTATTTATATAGTATGATTGTTTATGTATACTCAAAATTCCAATGCACAGGTTTTGACACACACTTTCTCACGGCACCATATCACTCCTGTACTTCAGCAACTTCACTGGCTTCCTGTTAAGTCACATATTGATTTTAAGACCGTGATTTTAACATATAAAGCAGTGCATGGAATTGCCTGACTACATTTTTGACCTGGTAATTCTCGCCACTCCCACCCGCAGTCTTCGTTCTTCATCTGAACTTAAGCTGTATCAGCCACGTTGTAAACGTGCTTTCCGTACAGTGCGCCTAAGCTATGGAATGGTCTACCCATCAGCATCAGGAATGCCGCTTCTCTGGATTGTTTTAAAAATCATCACAAGACTCACCTTTTTACCATTGTTTTTAACTTAGATTGGTTATGTTTGACAATTTAATCATTCACTTTTATTTTATTGTCTTATTGTGGTGTTTTTACAGATTTTTTTTAGGTCTGAAAAAATTGCACTATAAATAAAATGTATTATTATTATTATTATTATTATTATTATTATTATTATTATTATTATTATTATCTTGTACTACATTCCTAATCCAACACAAAACCTAAACCTAACTACTACTACTAACTAACTTACTTACAACTGTTAATAAACAACCAATTAGTGTTACGTTGAACTAATACCCTTAGCAAATGTTTTTTAATTGTTTGAATTCTACATTAAAATTCTCATTATTAATCAGGGGTCGCCATAACAAAATAAACCGCCAACTTATCCACTATTCAGCCACAACCCAACACTGGAAAAAACAGCCATACACTCTTGCATTCACACACATACACACTATGGACAATTTAGCTTATTCAATTCACCTATACCACATGTCTATACCCACGCGAACACGGGGAGAACATGCAAACTCCTCACAGAAATGGCTACTGAACCAGTTGGGGCTTGAACCAGCGACCTTTTTGCTGTACGGCGATCGTGCTACCCACTGCACCACCATAACATCGTTAATAGTAAAGTTGTAAATGTGTTAATTTGGTGCAGTTTGTTTATTTAAAAGCATTTTAGTCACTGAAAACACTGTAAAATGTATTAATGCTATGCTTGAGTCAGTTTGTGAACAAATACCAAAGATAAACAACAAATAAATAAATGCGTGGTTAATCATTCCACATTTTACGCAATTAATTTGAGTTATGATTGACAGTTAAAAAGCTTGATAAAAGCAATGACTAGTTACACCCTGCTTTAAAAAATAATTACAGATTGAGGCACCCTCAGCGGTCCTGCTTATTAAAGGACACACCACCACGGGCATTATAATGTACTGTGTGACCCAGGAACTTCTGCGTAGTATAATGTTTTCGGGGCCATCGTATTTTCAAAGACGGCCCACAAAAGATCAGAACGCTCCATAATGAGCAAAACCACAGTAGTCGGCACAGAGGTGTAAGTGTCCTCATCATGTGGCTTTTTGAGTTCATATAGGCCCGGGCGAACCATCCCAGAGGCTTCTGGAACATCAAAGATGTCCTGCTCTCATTTCGGCACCCGCGAGGAGCGAGGGGGAAGTGGAGATGTGCTAAATGCATAAATGACTGCGAGCAAGCCACCTTTGCATACAAATGCGCATTCAGAGAAATATCAGGCAGGAGGGGCATTTCTAAATAAATGACTATTAAAAAGCACTGGCACAATATGGAAGGATCCTAATTTCGAGATGGATGTTTAGCAGGCTAGCTTGCCTTGGAGCTGTGCCAGAGATAGCTGTGTTTGGGGCCACCTGCGCTACCCCGTTTAATCCACAGTAGTTTTATTCATTCCTTCAATATTGTCCTCTTTGATCTCCCATTTACCCCCACAGATACTACATTAAAGGGTCTTTTCTGACACCAGAGGAAATTAAAGATATCATTACCTTCATGCCAGGGTTCCAAGTATGCTTAAAATATCCTTTAATGTTATGTTTGGTATATGGCATGAATGGAATAAATTAGTTACAGTCTTTAAGAATTCACATCAGGGACTGCTTGTTGAGCTGGTATAATGTATAAAGGAAAAAGAAAGTCTTGCTTCCTGTTTTTTTTTAACTGGGTCACAGTTTTGTTTAATATGGAAACATGCAGAGCCAAAATAATCTAATGTCCTAAGATTGCACATTCATATGTCATCGTGTAATATGTAACCTGTAATTATGTAGCATGTAATTATGACTATTAACTGGGCTACAACTGGGAAAAGTTGTTAAATGAATAACGGCCCTTTCACACCAAGGATTGTGTAACAATAACTATAATGATAACTATATGAGCGCCTATTCCAAGGCATAACCTTCAGTTTGTCACAAACTGTGCACTGCAGTTTTGGTGTCTGCCAATTTAAATGTTGGTGCACTTGGTGAATTCTGATTGGCTGTCAATGCTTTTATTGTTCATCAACTCTTCGCTGATTTTGTTAGTGTTCTTTTAAAGTATAACTACTGTAATGATTACTACCAACAGCAAGGATGTAGTTATTAAAACACACTTCAGTTTAATACCCTGTGCTTTAAGTGCTTAACCTCAATCAGTATTACATATTTGGGTCTTCCAAGACCTACATTTCTAAAGACAGATGTGTCTCTAACTGCTGCAATGGCATGAACCTTGCCTTAAAATGTAAACTAAACTATATTTTATTCAAATATAATACATTTAAAAGCCCAATATATAAGATTTTTGTATCAAAATTTTCAAAAGCTAGTAGAACTGTCACAATCACAAGTGATCTAGTCCATACAGATAGTTGGACAACTACAAATCTACCACCAATACAACTACAAATCCCATTTTACCTGTTTGCACACACCTGTTTCAGATCACTGATGATCTGATGAATCATAAACTGGACTTTAAAGACACTTCTCTTAGCAACATACATTTCTGAGTCTTGTTTAACCCTGTGTAACATTACAAAGAGTTCTTCCTTGTTTGTCTTGCCATGTTTCGATCCTTTAACCGTTTTGATTCTCTGCCACCTAGCCTGAACTTTTGCCTGTACTTTGATCATGTATTTTGGATTATTTTGGATTTTTGCTGCATTAAATGATCCCAAATGTTTCGAAAAATGCTCAAATTAAGATAAATAAGTAATTTTAACTAGTGTCATGGACCATGTGATTGTGTCATCATGCTAATGATGTCACACCCTCAGTTTCTGCTTTATATTAATATAAAACATGGAAAAGCCCAAGGCACTTTAATATGTTGTGCCTTTTATTAGACCACACAGAGCAGTATTATAACAGAACCATAAAATATATTTAGTATGAAAAAACAGAGCTGATTCTTCCCACATGATTTCGCTTGAAAGAACCGAAAGTGGTCAACTGTGTCATAATAAAAGCTCCACTGCTTTAATGCCGTGTCACTCTCATCAGCAATTGCTTTGGCGTCTTGTTTCGATTTGATGGCTTACAGACTTACTCTGCATCAACATAATAGGTTTTCAATACTTTAGCTCATCCACAAACATGATTTCCCCAGTTTACTTAGGATACAATGAAGATAACAACTCCCATGATTCCACACTTGGTCACGCAGTCATTAAACTAAACCTTTATTTGTTGTAAATAAGTGACAGTGACAATAACACTTATATTTGAATGTGTACAGTAATTGTTCTGCAGTGAAGCCATTCAAGCCATTTCAAGCATTGCTGTTCATGTTCTTTTGTTTTATACCTGCCAAACTTCATATCATCTTTATGTATCAGACATTGCCATCTTTAGAAAATAAGGTGAACTGCACTCACCAAGTCATCAGATATTTAATTGATTAGGATTAATAAAATGTACAGTACATATCATTAGTGACCCTATCAACTTTTTACAATATTTTTTTTCGTTATAATGAATCGATTAACTCATTTAAAAAAAAAAAAAAAAAAACAATCAGGGGAGGGTAGTAAATGAAGGCCCAGATTGCCAAATGAGGTTTCTGATCTGCTGTCAATGTTTTTACTATTTATAAGAAAAATTCCTCTGAAATTGATTCCAGTTTTTACAGTTATGATTGGATAATATGTTGTAATCTTTAATTAAGATTTTTTAAGCATATCTTTAAGCATATCATTACCATTAATTAACTACAGTGATCAGCATATATAAGTACACCTCTTACAATCTATCTTTAAAACTCATGTTTTTAATAGGAAGCTATACAATGTTATATTTTGTGCATACAGTACATCAGGAAAGTATTCATAGCTTTACTTTTTCCACATTTTTTTATGTTACAGCCTTATTCCAAAATGGATTAAATTCATTTATTTTCTTATAATTCTACACACAAAACCCCATAATGACAATGTGAAAAAAAGATTTTTTTTAATTGTTGCAAATTTATCAAAGATAAAAAAAAAAACTGAAAGATCACATGTACATAAGTATTCACACCTTTTGGTGTCCAGCTCTAAATTGAGCTCAGGTACATTCTGTTTCCACTGATCATTCTTGAGATGTTTCAGCAGCTTGAATGAAGTTCACCTGTGGTAAATTAAGTTGATTGGACATTATTTTAAATGGCATACACCTGTCTATATAAGGTCCCAGGGTTGACAGTGCATGTCAAAGCACAAACCAAGCATGAAGACAAAGGAATTGTCTATAGACCTTCGACACAGGATTATCTCAAGGCACAAGTCTGGGGAAGGTCACAGAAAAATCGTGACCCAAAGCAGAACAATGACCCAAACCACAGGGTGTGTCTTCACAATTCGGTGAATGTCCTTGAGTGGCCCAGCCAGAGCCCAGACCTAAATCCTATTGAACATCTCTGGAGAGATCTGAAAATGGCTGTACATTATCGCTTCCCATAAAAACTGATAGAGCTTGAGAGATACTGCAATGAGGAATGGCCAAAAATTCCCAAAGACAGGTGTGCCAAGCTTGTGGCATCATATTCAGAAAAGGCTATAATTGCTGCCAAAGGTGCATCAACACAAAGTATTGAGCAAAGGCTGTAAATACTTATGTACATGTGATTTTTTTAGGTTTTTTATTTGCAATAAATTTGCAACAATTAAAAAAAAAATCTTATTTCGCATTGTCATTATGGGGTATTGTGTGTAGAATTTTGAAAAAAAAAAAATTATTCCATTTTGGAATAAGGCTGTAACAAAAAAATGTGGAAAAGGTGAAGTGCTATGAATACTTTCCGGATGCACTGTACATTAAATTAGTCAGTACTAAAGCCAAATCTGGATCTAATTTAACAAAATAATTTACGATAACAATCCAAATCTAGTACACCCAAATTTATATTGTATAGAAAAATACTAAATAAATACAAATTTTTAAAAAGGAAAAATCAAGAGAAGAAAATTTTTTTTTTTAAATAGTTGAAATTTTGTAGGTTGTAATTTGTTTTTCGCAATATTTTGCTTGAATTTAATTGTATTATCTTTCAATAAATATGGTGACTAAAATATAATTTTAATAAATATATCAGTTTAATAAATCTGTTTTGTTTAAATGCACCAAAATGCATTGCCTATATTCACTGAGAAACTAATAAAAATATTCATTTTCAAAATAGGGTGCACTCGATTATGCTGAGCACTGTATAACGATAACTGCATAATGATTACATTTTATTTATTATAATTGTGTGTGCTGCAGTTGTGTTATTTGCTGTTTTTATTGATTGAGCAGGATGTTTTCTGCTTTAAGTTTATTTTTAATTGTTCTGTTTTTAAATAGTTATTAACTAGAAACAAATAAATCTGAAAACTATTTGAGTTACATCCTTCCTCTTTGTTAAACTATATCTTCATAGTGTGAATCAGCCTTAAGAATTATTGGATTTTTTCTTTTTTTTTTTTTTTATCTGAAAGTTGGCAGTGAGTATTGCAATAATGTGAGGAGTGCACACGGCTGAATGTTTCACCTTTAATAATGCCTTTCTCCTGTAGCGTTTTCATAGAGGGCCGTCTGGAGATGAACTTCTTCAGTCTGTTCTTTACTCCATTCTTGTCGGCGCTGTCTGAGGCGCTGTAATTCAGCTTGAACACTGTGCGGGGGATCAGAGGAGACACAGGAACAATGCTGTCACTGAACACTCACCACATTCTTTTGAGGCTGTCTTTGTGCAAGTCCTCCTCATGCAAATAAGAGTGTCTCCTTTCTGCACATTGTTCAAAAGCACAGCAGAAAAAATATATATAACTACTTCTGCTGAAATATTCTCCCGTCTGCGTAAATATCTCATTTCACAGCATTTACTTATTGATTCCGGCCAATGTAAGTGTCAATATAACAGCATCTTGACAAGTCCAGTCATTAGTATGTGACTAGCGAGAGCTCATAGCTAGTGCCCAGTATTCGGTACAGTAGTAAATGAATTCTCTTTGATACTTATTCAGGGCAGAAAATGCTGCAATTACCAATGACAGAAGTGCTTGCTGAGTGTCAAGTAGCTTGTAATTTATAATAATGATTGACAGAGAGCAGACCGACTCCATTTTACTCACAACATCCTAATAGTGTTTAGAGATGTCGTATATATTGTGTGAAATTCAGCTTTGTCTCACACGGTAAGTGAGGTTATGAGACGTGCTAAGGTGTCTGTATTTTATTACAGTCATAATGTGTTGTTGCAGTTGCAAATGTTCAGATGCTGTATAAAACTGTGGTCAAGGTGATGCTGTGTTTCCTGTTCCTGTAACCACAGAGGAATATGCAAAAAACTGTCACTTGCAAGCGTGATTCATACATATGTCTAGGTGAGATTTCACTTTAAATGATGTATGCTTTAAAATAATGAAGACTATTTTTAGGACCATTATATATTTTCATATAATATTATATTTCTGTCAAACGGAAATATTTTTTTCAACACATTTCTAAGCATCATAGATTTAATAGCTAAATTCTAATATTATCTTTGCCATGATGACAGTAAATAATATTTTACTAGATATTTTTAAGGCAATAGTCTTCAGCTTAAAGTGTAATTTAAAGGCCTAACTAAGTTAAATAGGTTAACTAGTCAAGTTAGGGTAATTAGGGAAATCATTGTATAACAATGGTTGTTCTGTAGACAATAAAAAAAATAAACTGTTTACAGTTTTTCTTGTTTGCTATATTGGTTTACATGGGTTTTATCTAATATTTACATTATTTTATTACTTTTGTCTGTTTTGTTTTTCAACAGTGTTTCAGTTTACAGCCACAGTTTGAAAAAATGTCATGAATTTAATGTAACTTTATTCAAAGCATTTCTTATTCTGGATCCATGTCTTTGCAAAAAGGCAAGTTTGACAGCCCAAATAAAAAGACAACAAATGGCATTGGCAATAGGCATCAATGGCAATCAATGGTGCACTGATTCAAACAGTTCTGTATTTTGTTGTCCATTGTGTAATGATTAATTGAAAGAGCTCATATACATGTTTGCAAGTTGTGTTGTTTAAAGGTAAAATTAGCTTTTGTTGCATGTTTTAAATGTTTTGACACGGTATGGGCATTTTGCAAGCAAAATATATAATTTTCAGTAGAGTTTCAGTTGACGACTGCATCAAAGCAACCATGAAAAACTGTAAGAGGGCTAATAATGTTGTCCTTGCTCTGTTAAACTTCATTTGGGAAATATTTGAAAAGAAAAAGATTTACAGGAGGGCGAATAATTTTATATATACACTACCGGTCAAAAGTTTGGGGTCAGTAGGATTTTTAAATGTTTTAAAATAAGCTTCTCCTTCTCACCAAGGGTGCATTTATTTAATTAAAAATACAGTACAAATTGTAAAATTGTTATTGGGCTATAAAATAACTGCTCAAAAGTAGTTTATAATTAAATTTAATAATTTATTCCAGTGATTTTAATGATGAATTTTCAGCTTTATCACTCTAGTCTTCACAGTCACATAATCCTTCAGAAATCTCGCTTATATTAATTTTTATTATTATTATTGTTATTATTAATAATATTATTATTAATGGTAATAGTAATAAAAGCAATAATGACTGGAGTAATCAGTACATTTGAAACTACTTACAATAAATAATTAAATTTATTTAATTATTTTTTTTAAATTTAGTTTGCTTAAAAACAAAACATGAAAAAAAAACATGACCCCAGTCTTTTGACAGGTAGTGTATATCGTTATAAATCATTATGTAATCAGGGTGTATATATATATGAGTACACAGCATAATTTACCTGTAGGACAACAAAATTGTATTTAGTGCTTCAGTAAAACAAAACATTATCTGAGAAATTAAATTAAGACGTTAGAAAGTGAATTGTATGTTCACAGTGAGTTACACTTACCTTATAATGTATTATAAGAATTATTAAAACATTAAAACTGTTATAAATAATAGGTTCAGCATGATTTTTGGTAACACTAGGTTTTATTTGTTAACAAGGCGGATGCTTTTAAATACTTAAATTAATCCTATGAATAATTTCCAAACTAATACATAAAATAAAATTAAACTTTGGATTTTAATAATGCAAAAGTAAATATTATTTATTAACTATTACTATTATAACTATTAGCTTTTATTGGAACTGAGCTAAAATGAACAATGTGGTAATACCACTATATGTTAATTACCTCTTTTACTTATTTGAAAATTATACTTTTACTTATGAACAATTAATGCTCACTTCACTCATTTTGTTTTTGAGATTTCTTAATTATTAGATTTAAGATTTGGATTTTTTTTTAAATATATTTAATGTAAACTAGATTTTGTTTTCTGTAATTTCTGCTTAATTGACATAATAAACAATGCCAAAATAATCATCCTGAATAGTCAACAATAAATAAATAAAAAAATAAATGAGTTTTTATATTTTAGTGGTATAGGGCTACACATATAATTGTGGTTGTTTAGTCGCACAAAGAACAGATATGTTCACAGTACATTTAGAGCAGCACTACATTACAGCACTTCAGTTTCAAAATTTCAAATAAGAATAACTATCATTAGAAGTGACATATGGCATAAAGGTATTAAATTCTACTAATATTGAAATGTTATAAAAAAAAATTATTTTAAAACATTAACATTATTAGCATACTTAAACATAATTAATGTAACAATTTTTCAATCTCTTTTAATCTTAGTGTAAAACCTGACCTAAATCTGATTTGGTGAGACAGCCTGTGATCAGACAGTATCATCTGTACTGTTAAACTCATTAATGTGGATATTAAACAGTGGTGAAGCGAGGCTGCAACCCTGACACTCTCACTGTTTCTGAACTCTCTGTGTTGATTGCCAGTTCTCACCTCTCCATCTCTCTCTCTCTCACATACACACACACACACACACACACATACACACACACACACACACACACACGTTACTCACTTATGGAGCGTCTGTGTTCAGATTTGGTCTCTTTTGGTTTGGGTTTGGAGCTTTCACAGGTCGGTCTGGACAGGCATTCTGTGCTGTTGGACCGGTGTAGAGCCGCTCTACCACAGCTCTGGCCTCCAGATCCACTCGACTACACCACAACATCACATAAAACATTCATCAGGTACACGCTGAAATAACATCCAGAAATATTGCTTTTTAAAGTATTTATCCCAGTGTTTCATGCTTCGCTATTTACGTTTTAAAGCATGTATTTACCTAGACTCTTCCGATTACAGTCATGTTTTAAAATGTAGCGCTTTAAATAATATAATAGTTAAAAAATTATGCATGATGGTGTAAAAATGTAGTTTGTTTTTTTATGAAATGGTTTACCAGGATGTCCACTGCTTTCTTGATGGCATCATGCCATTTAGAGATGGTTGGAAAATGGTCTGCCTGTAACAGAAACTCATGACCAGTCGGGGTGGTTATCTGGTGGTTAAAAAAAAAAATTGAAATTGAAATGAATGTTAAAAAGTGGCATTTAAGAACATTACAGTGTCCTGTCAAAAACAAACATGTGCATATGTAGGGCAAAAAGACTATATTATGTTGCACTCATTGAACTGGCCCAAAATCTACTGTGTCTATTCTAAATTAAAGTAAAGTTTTTGCTGAGTAACAGCAGCAATTCTAGGCAACAGTTATACAAACAAAACATAAGAAAATGAAAAAGAAAATTAAAAAATATTAGCATTTTTTCAATTTATGCACACTATTTATAATAATTTCTTTAGTTTTGTTATGTTTTGTTTGTATAACTGTTGCCTAGAATTGCTGTTGTTACTCAGCAAAAACTATACTTTAATTTAGAATAGACACAGTAAAAAGGAAATAAAATAAACAAATTAAATTTAATTTAATTTAATTTAATTTAATTTAATTTAATTTAATTTAATTTAATTTAATTTAATTTAATTTAATTAGGGTTTGTTCATTACATTAAGCCAAAAAACAAGGTGCAATGCATTGCAAATTTCAAAACAAAAAAAAATTCAAATTATTAAAGAAAAACAAATAGTATACATTTTTATTTTATTCGATTTTTTTTTTTTGCATTTAATAATGTATATTACTATAATGTGCATATTAGAATTATTTTAATAAATGTTGTTCTTCATTTCTACTTGCAATTTATCAAAGAATTCTAAAAAAGTATCATGGCTTCCACAAAAAAAAAAAAAAAAAACATTGAAGAAAAACAGCATGTTTAAAAATAAAATAAAATAAAATAAAATAAAATAAAATAAAATAAAATAAAATAAAATTAAGTTAAGTTAAGTTAAGTTAAGTTAAGTTAAATTAAATTAAACGAAATAAAGGCGAATGTGCATTTCCATTTTTCCAAAAACAAAACAAAAAAACAGGGTGCAACGCAATGCAAAATTCAAAACACAAAAAAATCTTTTTTTTAACGAAACAATTTTGCAGGCAGTTCATTCCCCTGTGGTGAACTCTGACTTAGAGACTAAGCCAAAGAAAAATGAATGAATGAATGAACAATTCTGCAATTTATCACAGAATAAAGAAACAATATTTAACAGAAACTGCGTATTTACAGTTGACAATACAAGGAAAAGTCACAATTACACAAACAAAAAGACAATAAGACGTGCAATGAGCCTTGACAAGCTATTAGTTTGATACCTGACCAAACATTACACTTATTTCTGCAGATTGCCATAACATCCCATGGCGCAGTCGCAAAGAATAAAAGCTTTTCCAAGAAAAAACATGAGCAAACACCAACGCTAAGGTCAGAATTGTCAAATAGCGTCGCGCAGCGCGGATTCTTGTAATTTTAAAGAGACCTGACACTGCATGTTTCAAAATCATTTTAGAGCGGTCAGTCTCCAAAAATACCAAGCCGGATCACAGAACGCACAACAGTCAGTCCACATCCACATCCAAAGTTTGTGGCCGTTTAAAACAGACTTTTCTTGACTCTGAGAGAGGGTGGCAGGGGGAATCAAGCAGTCTCTTTAGGGATGGAGTGAATGCAGAGGGAATGGTTAGAGGCACAATTCTTGTCAGAGTGCGTTTAGCATCCCTCTATTCTTCCCAGTTGAACATCGGAGAGAGCATGTTTGTTCTGAAGCTCCTTCTTTCCTGAAGGCCGCCTGCGGACATGACAGGCAGAGTTTGTAGAGCGCCGGACTTGTTGGAGTCTTCATTGGGAGAAACAGATCCGCTTTAATGAAGTATATTTGTGCTGCAGGTCATCAGAAACTTTCAAATGGCAGTTTCAGATCTCTTTCTGGTTCGGCTGTCAAATAACGTGTGAAGCTCAGAGTTCTTTTATGCGGATTTGACAGATATTTTATGCATGTGACATTGTTTTTTGTTATTTTTCGGACATTGGAGATTAAATGAGCCCACTGACGTATTGTCGACTTTGATTGGGAAGAAGAAAAAAGTGATAATGTTTCACAACCCAGCACGCGATGTATCAAATAATTCAAATAGTCTTTCAAAGCCAAACCAGCTTTAATAAATTCAACACCAAAGCTCGATTAAGTTAAACTGAAACACATTTTATATGTCGTACAAAATAGGCTCATCCTGTAAATCAAGCTGTTTCTGAAGCAAACGCCGCATTGGTCTTTGATTCGGCGAAGATTAGCTGATGACTCATGAGTTCTGTCCGCTCTGTTTTTGAAAAATGATAATCATCTTTCCAACTGTATTCACCAGTACCTTCCTACAATCAGGCTCTTGTAATTTATGCCATGTTTCATCTCTGCATGTGGTCATGTCCATGCAAAAGCAGAGCCCACAGATATGATGCCAATGTCTGTATATGCGCATATATTTCGACAGGCCATTTAATGCTGTTATGCAGCTTACACAACAAACCTTGAACATTTTATACTTGGCTTAATGCTGCATGTTTTCTTCCAAATTCATATTCTTTCTTCTTTTCCTTCTCAGTGTTGTTTTTTAGTATCTTCAAAGAGCTGATGTAGTTTTTATTAATAGTTTGCAGTAGTTTATAGTTTTGCATGTTTATTTTAGGTTTTTGTGTTTTTTTTTTTTTATTTATATAATTTTATTATTATTATTATTATTATTATTATTATTATTATTATTATTTATATGTTTTTTATTAGTACACATGTAACACATCATTGATGGACAGCTGATATAAAATATTGTTTGTCTATTTTATATCAATTTTGAGTGTTAGGTAACCCTTTACAATAAGATATATAGTACTCAGCAAACAGAAAGCTATACAATATTATATTTGAGCATATACATTAGATTAGTCAGGACTGAAGCCAAATCTGGAGCTAAACTAACAAAATAACTTACGATAACGCCCAAAAACTAGTACAAGCAAATTTATATCTTATAGAAAAAAATGTTAAATGTAAATTCAAAAAGAGGAAAAATCAAGAGATACATTTTTTTAGTTATTTTATTGTGGGAATTTTGTAAGTTGTTACTTTTTTTGCAATATTTAGCTTGAATTTAATTGTATTATCCTTCAATTTCTAAACATGTTTGGGAAATCAAATATTATTTTAATAAATATATCAGTTTAATAAATCTGTTTTGTTTAAATGCACCAAAATACATTACCTATATTGACTAAGAAATTTAGAAAAAATATTCACTTTCTGTGAGTAGTTAATGTTAGTTAATGCATTTACTTACATGAACAAATAACAAACAAATCATTTACTACAGTATTTGTTCATATTAGTTAAAGTTAGTTAATTAAAAAAAGGTTGTTCATTGTTAGTTCATGTTAACTCCCGGTGTATTAACTAATGTTAACAAGCATAAACTTGCATGATAATAATGCATTAGTAAATGTTGAATTATGATTAATAAATGCTGTACAAGTATTGTTCATGATTAGGTCATGTTAGTACATTAAATGATGTACCTTATATAAAGTGTGACCTTTTTAGCTTAATTACAATAGTTCTGGTAAACGTTTTATTTAAAAAATAAATAAGTTTTGTTTAAAAAAGCAACAAAAAAACTATGTTTTAAAAATCTGTTTCCTTTGAGAAAGAATTTAATTTATTTACAATTAATGTGCAAAAAGCATTTTAAATTAAATATGAAATTTTCAACATGGGCTCATTCTGAAAACGTAGCCCTATTCACATTTCTAGTGATTGCAAATTATGTATCCAAAGGTACGTATGGCTGCATTTCATTTTTAAAACAAAATGCTAGGGGGCGGTATGATCTCTGCTTTGAAACTAATCTCTGCTTTTTAAAATACTATTGGTTGGGTTTAGGGAAGAAGAAGCGTGGGTCAGTCAATCGGTTATTTAGTCAGTCATTAAGTCAAACAGTCAGTCAACAGTGGCCTCTGGTGAATATACATGAGAACAGCAGGTATAAATGGCACTCGTGAGAGAAATTTGAGGCCTCTAGTAGATTCGCAAAAACTGCCAAAAAAAAAAAAAAAAGCTAGCTCCTGCGACGTATTTGCCGCTCTCCAGAAATGTATATAGAGGTACAATTTCATAATGAGCCTGGGATGGAAATATTGAAGCAAAAAGACTGAAATATATTTAATATATTTATTAATATGTACATTTTTTTAAAGAAATAATGCGCTTCACTGTTTTTGCATTATTGTACATGTGAGATGCTCAACTATCAATTTGGACTTGTTATGTGTGCATTAAATTGAAAAAGGCAGCTTTACAGTGTGAAATTTTCCAGCCTAATATCACTGTCCTGTGTCTAACATTAGTGTTTTCATAATTAGCCGTTCAGTGTTTTCGCTGCCCCAATTGTTTGTTTGTAAAGGCCACAGATAGCATTTTAGTCAATCTGTTTTTAGCTATTTTAAATATAAAAAAAAGAAAAAAGTATATATATAAATAAAGGTTTTGAAAGACTATTATTATTGGTCAGGAAAATGGCAAAGCCACAGAGGAGCTGATTGGAAAACTGGGACTAGTGGAAAGTTTTGTGTTTTTTCTTCTTCTTTTTTTGTGAGTGGTAATAAGAAAGTGTATAACATAAAAGCACTACGCTTTTAATCACACTGTTTAATGAGGAGGAATTTGAATATCTGGGCTCTCACTTTGACTCTTCATTAATGTTTAATTACGCAGAGCGGTACAAAGACCAGAATGCCATTTGTGACTTAACATTTGTGTTTTGCTGTTAAATTAAACATTAATTTGAAAGCTACATAAAGACACAACTCAACTTTGAAGCGCATTTGATAGTAGGGTTAATTATCTCCAATTTTCCACAACTCCTGAGATGAGTCTGGCAGAGAGAGCTATCGGCTTTCCAGAGAAAACAAAAGCAAAATCAGAGGAAACCGAGAAAGATGCACTGCCTTTCCATCCTGCTTTCACTGTTTCATTCGATGGCTAAGCTGGAGTAAAAACATTATTAACAACAGCGCATAAATAAAATGTGTGTAAAATGATTTAGGTGCAGGAAAT